TGACCAATTTATGCGACTCATGGAGGGATCAATTATAGGAATGAAAGATTGTAGTTGGTTAATCAATTGTTCAGTAGTAGCAGCTAAGATTATGGTTTGTCGTGTCGAAGATGTTAGAAATTCCTGTCCACAGCATGATAAAGAAATGACAATAACTTATCATAATAACCATTAACATTTAACAAACCTATGGGTTTATGGTGAATGTGCAATTATAGAAGATATCACCTGAAATAACGAACACTGACAAAACCTGAAACACACTAAAACAAAAATAAGAAATAACAAAACACAATAATAAAACCAAAAGACACAAGTTTTTACAAACAAAAAAAATTCAAATCGCAGTTGTGATTGTGGCTCACATCTTCCCTTGGTTTTACGTCCAAGAACGGCTTAAACGCCCTCTATGGGTCGGGGATAGGCTTCCCATCCAGTTTTCTTAAAAACTGGCAAACAGGGTCTTTTTTTAGTCAGATTCCCAAGACTATGCCAAGCATGTTCTTTATGAAAATGGGTTCCTAAGTTATGAATTGCACGATGCTTATCTTGACTATGATGAGACTTAAGAGTCAATAGAAGATTATCTAAAGACTCTCTGTGTTTTGAAATAAATCCCACCTTCTGACAATTTTCACAGTTTTTGCGGAATGCATCTGACTCCTTGAATATGATGGGCCAGTAAAATTCACTTTGTAAGATTTCTACAATCCTCTTTTTTGATGAGAAATGATCCCCACATGCCTTAGAGTGACAAACTTTAATGAAATTACTTACCTCATTGTCGAGAATGCATTTTTTAAATATTTGATCAGGACAATAATTGAATAAGTAAGGGTCATCCTAATAAAAGTTTTGCATATTGCTCAAACAATTTCTTTTGTCTTAGGTACTCTAATAAGCTGGCAAATCTCTTGAAGCAAGAAAATTGTTGCTTTTATCATACCAAGGCATTGGACTAAGAGAAAGTAAGGATTCGTTAGGAAAGTAATCATCGATTGATGTGATGTTGGATGTCGAATCTGTTGTCACTCTTGACAAAAGATCTGCATTAACATTTTTATTGCCTTTTTCATCCGTGATTTCTTCTAGAGAATAAATCATTTGCAAATCTTCAGTTTCATCCAATTCATTTTTACTTAAAGTAGATTCAAGTTGATCATAAACTAATTCATCAATATGATCTACTTCTTGTAAATCATTATCATCTCCAGGTTGCTTGCAAATGTTGAAAATATTCATCTCCAATGTCATGTTTCCAAATGATAGCTTCATCAGTCCATTCCTACAATTAATAAAATTACAAGAAACAAACGTCCTAAAATGACAGGAAATGAGTTACATGCTTCAACAAGTTGTGTGTCCAAGACAATAAAATCCACACGATAAATGAATTTATCAACTTGTACTAACACATCTTCAATTATTACTTTAGGCACGTTTATAGATCTATCGTCAAGTAAAAGAGTTATATTGGACTATAATTTTTTTTAAAAAAAATATTAAGATGATGATATATTAAAACTCAAATCGTAATAAAATCATGGTTAACCTATAAAACTCATTATTTAAGACATGAGACCGTGATAACTTAAGAGGACTCAAATAGAAATAAAATAGGTAGTTCAATTCTAGTCAACCAAGTATTGAATGCTAAAAATAAAAAAAAAAATATTCAATTTTCTCTTCACAATGCAAAATGTTAAATTTAAATAAACAAAAATATCATGATGTGAGAATAACATGATTATATTTAACAATTGGTTTAATTTAATTCAAAACAAAAATTTATTTTTAAAAAACTAAATTTAATAAAGAGTGAAAAATAAAAAATCTTGAGATAACTCGAGTTATTGTAGCAGAGAATTAGTCTTTTCTTTTAATTTTCAGATTTAACCCCTTCCTTACTCTCAGAGATTGACTCATCATCTTTCTCACAAGGTTCAAGAGTGGGTTTTTTGATAACCTTATCACTATGAAGAGTGGTGATTGATTTCACTTGATCTATGTGCTGACTTCCAAAACTACTTGCATTTACATTGTATTGCCCTTTGAGATTTTGTTGTGGTTAAGATGGAAACTTACCTTTCTCTTGAAAACTAAGAGCAGACGTCAATTTTGCAAGATTATTTTTAAAATCTGTCATGCTTTGAGTAACTTGAGTATTGATTGTCTCTTGCTTTTTAATGAATGTATGCAATGTTTCCTCAAGATTTATTATAGAAGGTGGAACATAAGGAGGTGCATATCCATGAGAATTTTGAAAATTATGATATGTTTGAAACTATGGTTGTGAAGTTTGTGCCTATTGTTATTGTAAATTGCCCATAAACATAGGATCGTAGAAAAAAAGAAAAGAAAAGACCTTAATGAAAAATGAAGACTCAATATGAAAAGAAATGAATAAATAGTAGAAATAATAATAAATACAATAAGTAAGGGAGAGAATAAGCTCCATAAATAAATTTAAAAATGATTAGTACTTAAAAGTGTATTTTTATCAAGGTTTTATATTATCATTTTGCACTTCAAGTATTAATAACTCCTTAGCTAAAACATGTTTTATAATATCAAGTTTATGCCTTTCAATTCCTTTTCTCTACTTAGTTAACTTTTATCTTATTTATGTTCTTATTTTGTTTATTTGTTTTTCTTTCTTTCATTATGTTTAGCTAAGTTTATTATATCAAGGTAAAAAGGTTATACTAATGGTATAAGAATAAGTATAGTGTAAACTTAATATAGACTTTAATATTTGATACTAGCATGTTTTGTATTTGTTATCTTGTTCATTCTTTGATATTTTGCTTGTTAAATGACTAATCTAGATTTATGTTGCATAACACTTGGTACAACAAATGCTTGGCACTTTCATAGC